CCTGGATTTCTACAAATAAAACATCTGTAATTTCTTTCTTTTGTGAGTAATATATTTACTTTATTATCTTTTTTATTATTATCTTTATTTATTTTTTGTTTTTTATACCAAGGGCGCTTTCTGAATTGTCTGGGGTTATTTTTGAAATAAGGTTTTTTATTACGATAACTCTTGTAAGTTTTGCTTTTGCATAAATTATAATTCTTTAGTTTATTACACTTATAATTATAATTTTTCTGAGGTATACAACCATACTGTGGTGAAAAGTTTATTTGTCTACACGTATAATAAAATTATTTTTTAATTTGTTTAGATTCTTTACGTTGTCTACATTCTGCTTTTAGCATATTATAGACATGATTTACTTTATCTCTTATGGTTAACCTATCTCTTCTAGGATTTTCTAACCATTTTTCCCATTTCTTAGTTCCTATACTTCCTGGTAATTTCTGAAGATACCTATCGATAAATGTTTTTTCACCTGTTTTACCTGTGGCTGCGAAATACTCAAAAGACTTATTAGTATAATCCCTTATGTACCTAAAATCACAAATCTGTAGTAATTCTAGATTACGTAAAGCTTCATTTTGCTTTATTTGGATTTCGTCTAATAATCTATCTTCTCCAATTAACACCTTTTTTTATTAAACTGGTAAAACCTTGAATTGTAAAATTATCATGTAGGAGGGCATAATCATTAGGATAGGTCACTTTGTAGGATTGCCACCAATCATAGATTGTTCTCCTTAATAAAGTTTCACAATAAGTTAGGGCTTGTATTTTATTATCAAAATTGGTTAGAATAGATTGCCTAACACAGTCCTGTTCCCAATTTTTGATTACTTTTGCTCAATCTTGGGGATCGTGTTATGATATATCTACTATTGTTCCTGCTTATTGTGCTGGTATATTATCATAACGTCTACGATTTTGTGTCCATATGTACATGTCTGGTATATTTCTATTTTATACATAGGTTTCTTATGTGGGATTTAACCGTTGTCCAGTGGTAAAGTCATCGTTTATGCTATTAGTACTACCTATGGCATTATGCATTCCTTGGTCGACTAACCCTGTGGGTTGGCTTTGAGAAGTTGATGTGTCTATTATTTCTTTTCCGTCTCTATGTTCTACTACGTTTAATTCTTCTTTTATGGTATTTAATTCATTCCTTGTATAAAAGGATTCAAATCCTATAGTTACTATATTTCTTTTAATGTCTTCATTATTTCCCTGTCCTAAGTAAATGCTTTTTAGCAGTTGATACTTAGGTTCTGGATATTTTTCGTTCAGATCATCTATTTCTAAATTATCGAAATCATACATGATTTTACCTAGAATTTCATCTTCTAATCTATCATAGAGAACATTAATTTTTTCGGGAGATTCTATCTCTATTAGAGTAGTTTTAAAATCTTCTTTGTTATTATTATCTATTAAATTATCTTGTCGTTTATAATTACTGAAACGTATACTGGCTTCTCCAGTATGTTTTACATATATTTTATTATTTTCGGGAATCTTTTGGATTGTTTTATTAAGATTTGGTAATTCTCATTCTGTTTCTTCGTAGGTTTCACTACTTACTTTTCTAGGTTCAATCATTTGAACATATTTACTACTAAATGGCTTAACTATTTCATCAAATTATGCCTTTAAACTTTAAGTTATATTGATTAACTGTTTTCCCATAAATAAAGTATTAATTAATAGGTTTTCATATTGACCTGCCATTTTATATACTTTTGTAGATATTACCATCTTAATATGTTTACTAAATTCTGTAGTAGTCATTGTGTAATTAGGAATACATCCTACAATAGCTAAGTTAACTGCTAAATTTACTTCTGCGCTGGCTATTTGTGCTTGTTGATAGTTAGTCCATCTATCATCATAAATATAACAAGTGTTTTGGTTCCTACCTCTGATCTATTTAATCATGTTATGCCTATCATTATAACACCTAAATGCATAAGATCTAATTTAGTTTTTTCTAATTCATGATAAGCTTTTGGTGTTATGAGATCTAATACTACTTGATTATTAATTACACTTATTCTTATTTGGCTAAGATGATTATATATTTTACTCTGGAAATCTAACAGATTATTGAAATAAAGATTAACTTTATTGGTTACTTTCTTCATTCGTTTTTTTATATAATTTTGAGCATCTTGTTCATTATCATGTAAATCTTCTACACGCATTATTTCTTTGGCTTTTCTAAGAATAATGGCCATTCTTTATATGGTTGTGATAGATTCTTTCGCTTGGTGTTTTTAGTGGAGAAAGGATTAGTTGATAATTTTATCTGATAGCTTAACTATTTCTTTAGAATATTCTCTAGGAATACTTTCTTGTAATACCTTTAATTTTTCTTCAAGTTTATTAACCTTTTCAGATAATTGGAGTAATAACTGGATTAAAAGGTTGTTTTGTCTAGTATATATATTGTTTGATTTTACGTTTATCGTAAAACTTGTAAATCCTGTAGGTTCTTTATCTATTTTATAGAGCTTAGCTAGTGCTTGTAGGTAATCAGGATTACTAGTGCTCATAAATTATTGTAATAACTTTTGGATATCTTCTTTTAATGATTTTAAATAGTCTATAATTATTTTTTGATTTTCAGTAATATCTTTTATATCACTATTCATATCTTTAATGGTGAAAATTATTATTTTATTATCTAAATTTCCAGACTAGACTTTTGTTCAACTGTTGTTTTAATATAATCAAGGTTTTCTCCGAATCGTTTTATCGAGGTGTCTAGGTTATTAAAATCTAGTTTGTTCATAAATCTAACTAAAATCTTTGCCATCTAACTTCTAGAATATTTTGTACAAGAATAATTCTAGATCTAAGTTCTTCTATTCTTCGTTGAAGGCTATGTATGGTATTTCCGAGTTCTAGTGAAGTGTATCAGTTTTTAAGTGCTATTTGAAAATATTCTAGAATTCCTAAAAGTTCTTATTTGGTTAAATTGTGCATAAAATAAACTTTAGGGGTGAAAATATAATTTTAGCTTATAAAAGGGTTCAAATTGAAGGTCTTTACTTTTGGTTCATGATATAATAAATATGCAAACTACGTCAATGATCTAGTAATATACTTTTGCTACTACCACTTATATGTAAAAGTCCCTTTTTAAAATGACCATTTTACAGCTATAGTAGAAACTGTGGGTCCTAAACTCAAACTAGACCTGTGGATAGGTATAATGGGTGGCCGCTTACCCATTTACCCAAAAGCTCAAGCTGTTGGGTAGTTCTACATACCCACCCATTTATACCCAATCACTTTCCCATCGGATCCGGGACAAATGACCCTTATTACAATAGGTCATATCTAAGGGTGGGAATTTTGAGAAGAATGGAGTCAAATTCCTTATTTGACAACCCGATTTTTCTATATATTTGCAAAATTACCATTTTGCCATTATGCTCGGTTTTGCTCCCAGTGCGGATTATTCGATGCCTACAGTAAATTTCTAGTTTAATTTAGATAGATTATGGAAATCATTAATTGATCTGTGTATAAAAAATGCAATGAAAATTTGAGTTTATAAAATAAAAAAAAAAATTAATGAAAACGAGAATAAGTTGGATAATACAATTACAAAAAGGGTAAATTACTCCCCTCTAATTAGCTAAAAGTTCAAATAACTCCCCTCAATTTTTAGATATATCATTTACCTCCCCTAAAATGGATGTATGTTAATGTCAATTAATATACCGTTATCCTTTCTCTCTTTTCACCTCTCTTTTACAGCTTGATGTCACGCTCCACTATTCTGATTGAGGAGGGTATCATTGGCACCGTCAGCCGATTGATACTTCGTGTACATGGGTTTTCAATTTTGGCACCATTTTGGGGGATTTCTTTATGAGATGCAGTGTATACTATCAATTTACTGGTGTGCGTACTATAGATTTAGGGCTTGGGTTCAAACTGTCGATTCAACGCTTATTCTTGTTCATTGTAATAATACTGTGAATAAAGCAATTTGGTACAAGAGTGTTCGTGGGTTCCTTATAAATTAAAACATGACATAGATGAATTGGGAGCCTTGTTTGTTAATCTCCATGGTATACAACAATGAGTAAATCAAGTGTTTTGGTTTTTAATTTAATTTTTTAAAAAGGTTAAATAGGTCTTTTTGACAAAGTCAAAGGCAACTTGGACATTTTGGGTTCTCAGCGTGCTGACAGTAATAGCATTAACTAACTTTGACTTGGACAGACATTATTTTAGAGTAGATAAATGATATTCTTAAAATCGAGGGGAGAAAGGAGGTGAGCATAATTTACCCTTACAAAAAATAAAAACCAAAATTTTAGTTAGTTATAAAATTATGTATATAAAAAAGAAAGAGAACCAAAATTTTGAAATTTGAATTTTGGTTCCCTCTCTTGAGCAAAAGTGCCATCGAGAGTTAAAATGATGGTGACAACAATGTTATCAGGGAAATTGGTTCAATATAATTAATTGCATTGAATGATATCTGTATGCTTGTATACCTTTGCTCGACTTGTACTAGTTATTATTATAGTGCCATGGATGGGCCCCAGAAAAAAAAAAAAATTATAGCAGATCATTTCAGCCTCCCCAATAGCCTCCGTCTCTATCTCGTTCTCATCTCTGAACTTAACCCCTCTCTTTCCCTCTCTAAAACTGCAAACTACAAAATCTACAAGAATCAAAAGTTCAAAACCCATATATTTCAGTCTATGTATCTGTCTGCAAGAATCAAAAGTTCAAAACCTATCACCTATATCAAAACCCATATCGGCCTATTAGATTGTTTAAAAAATCAAAACCCATGTCTTTCAGTTTCCATCGCCCGCTGTTCGGGTTCGCCGTTCGTTAGCTTCAGCCGCTGACTCTCAACTCTCAAGCTTGCCCCTCTCTCTCTCTCCAACTGTTAACTGGTATGTATGGGTGTTTTAAAATTTTTTTTCTAAATCAACTAATCAAGGTCTGTAATTCTTGTTTTGCAAACTAAATTCTATTTGGTGAAAATTTTTATGATATTTTTTATATAATATATATTTTTTTACAATATGAAGTAACAAAATTTGCATTGCATTTTGAGGTAATCACCGTAACCTATATTTTATTTCAGCAAAACAAATATATAATTTTTATTTCTATAACTTCTGTTTGTTTTTTTTCTTTTTTTCTTCAGCAAAACAAATTTATAATTCTTATTTCTATAACTTCTATATCTGTTTTTTTTTTTTTTTTTGGTCAATTATGTCTACAAAAAAATTTGAATCTGGGCATGAAAAAAGAAAAAAAAAAATCTGAATTGGATTAGAAATAGAGATTGAATCTGAACCCATCTGTGTACTGTAATTATATTAATTCTATTTATTTATTTATTCATTATTTGTTTTTAAAAATTCAGCCCTACATGAGCGTATCTAAGTTTCTAACCCTAGGTTTCCTAACATAGGGTCTGTGCTGTCTCTCGGCTCTCTCTTCCTCAGTTCCTCCAGACGAACCCATCTGAAATCTTGCATATCTCCATGATACCATCACTCATCATCAGTCCATAGTCCATCGTTCCCTACAATAAATCGAAAAAACGACGACCTCTTCGTCGGGATCGACCTCTTTTCCGGTGCGTTTACAATATTTTTCCATGGATCTTTCTTATTCTTCTCTTCTTTTCTCTGGATCTTTCTTATTCTTCTCTTGTTAGATTGATTTAGACCTAGTAATGTGTAGATTGATATTTGAAATCTTGATGTTGATGCTTTTTTTTTTGGTGCTTGATTATCTATAGAAATATGTTAGTGGTCTAACATTCGTTTCCTGGTTGACAAATGCTTTAAGAGTCAGTTTCCTTTCTCACTTTCACGTGATATCTTGTTCTCTTAATGGCATAGCTATAGCGTACCTTTAATGAACTGAAGCTGAGGCAAATTCTCTTAGCAAAACCAGGATAAGGGCGTATCCTCTGTTTTGTCCAACAGAATCCCACACCATACTGGTTTGTGCTAGTTCCTTAGGGTCATTAAAACTCTGTGCATTATTCGTCATATGTATCAATCAGTACATAAAAAAACAATTCTCTAAATACTTTGTCTCCTAGTCAATGAGTTATAGTATTGTCTTGATGTCAGTTAATATATCATTTTGTTTGACTGTCTCAGGGCTAGATCAATCAATACGCATTTGATTATTGTAACCAAAATAATGCATATGTACTAGTAGAAAATTTGAAAATGATCAATTAAGGTATAAGCTCTTTGACCTAACACATTACTCTTGCTGTTCTTCTATACTTGAAATGTTTGTTTACCATTCTTTTTCTCCTGTATCTGAAATAAACAAAACATTTAAGTAGATTAATGATATTCTAATAGTCCAAATTAGTTTTTTTTTTTTTTTTTTTTTGGTATTTTATTTTATTTAGTGGGTTTTGGATTTCTTAAATCCGATCACTTATAGTTGTGTCGAATTTTGTCACCTTTGCTGAATTGTATAGTCTCGTTCTTAGGGATAACAATTTGTTTCGCTTTACCTTTTCTTTCTTCTTCTCTAGTTTTTAATCACGGAGGCTACCTTGTATCTGATTATCACTAGAATTTTGTAGATCTACATTTTAATATTCATTTTCACACCTTTTTGAAATTAATGCTTGCTCTATATTTTTTCATCTCTACTAGGATTTGGGCGTAATTTTTTTGGATGGAGGGAAGAGACTGCACCGAAGAAGGAGGGAAGTCTGAATCTGCATTTTATCTTGATGAGCGTGTCATCCCTAGTTTTCTTTCAAGGCTTCCAACCCGAGCACGGCTGATTTGCCGTCAAGTTTGCAAAGGAGTCTTACCTATATTCTTCCAGTTACCCATTTCAAAGGTGTAGAGCTCCGCTATTGAGTTCTTAGATGTACTTAGTTGCGCAATCTTTTTTTATCCTAGAATCTTGAATGAAAGCTGATCAGGGCTATAACCGAAACCATATGCGGATTTCGGAACTCTGGGACCGCAAAAAATTCGCCTACAAGAGGGTTCAACACCCAACTCCGGGATGTTGTAAGGTATTCAAAACATACTAGAGTTGATGAACCAATTAAATTGAGTTTTGAATACAATTTACCGAAGAGATGCATGCTTTTCGTGGGTTCGGCAAATGGATTAATATGTTTTTAGACTATAAAATTGATAAACTTTACATATGTAACCCTCTCGAAAGCTAATTTTTTGCGGTCCCAGTTCATTTCACAATCGAAATCCGCATATGGTTTCGGTTATAGACGTGATCAGCTTTCATTCAACATTTTAAGGATAAAAAAAGATTGCGCAACTAAGTCTAGTCCATCTACGAACGGAGCTCTACACTTTTGGAATGGTTACTGTAAGAATATAGATAAGGTTCTCTTTCCACCAGACAGAACAGTAACTGTGGTGCTAGTGTGCATGGCAATCTACACTGGATAATTGAAGATGCTAGAATCAGTGATGTTATATGACCCTTCCATAAAGAATATGGAGTGAACAGCTCATGGACTCAAGATTACAAAATCCATTGACCCATCCTTTCCCGTAAGCTGCGGCCTTTAGATCTTCAACCAATCACAATGTGGAGGGATGAAATTTTGTTTTCTCATATCTTCCAATTCGACAACTAATGTTTTTGTTGAGGTCAACACAACCGGTATGCATTCAGGTTTTCAAAGATTTCCAATTCGACAACTAATGTTTTTGTTGAGGTCAACACAACCAGTATGCATTCAGGTTTTCAAAGATTTGAATACGTTTTGTCATTTCTCTCACTCAAGGAGCTCCTAGGAGATGAATCTCAAAAAGTTGGGATCTTTTCTGTGAGGAAGAAGGTGATTCAAGTTTTATTAATCGAGTGCATATATGCCACTTTCATGATTCCATCGGTAGTGGGAACCTAAACTTCTTTTCTTGCAGAAAAGAAGACTTCAAGATCTTTTTTATGATTGGAAAGGAAAGAGATTGAAATACAGTAGCAGGAATTGAAAGGATAATTAAAACGCGTAGTTTGTGTGTTGAACAAAGTTTACAATGCACATAAGTTACAAGTATGCCCTATTTATAAAACTATTGGATGACAATTCTAGCAGTAGGTATCATCAACCGCTGTGAGCTTCCATGTGGAACGGTTGGAATTCTCGCCAAGTGTCTTATGTCTTCCTTGATCTTCTCATTGTGTTTAAGACCATGTTTCCCTCTGTTAAGGGGGTGGAGCTACTGAAGGACTAATCTGGGATGTAGCCCAAAGTCTCAAAAAAAAAAAAAAAAAAAAAATTATTACTACTGTACGTATGCAATATTGCTCTTCCTTTTAGTCCAGTCAATATGTAATACTATTCTTCCTCTTAACCTAGTTCACTTTGCAATTCTGTATCTGTTTTGCAACTTTTACAAAGTGGTGTTAAGAGCTTGAATCATGCAACATGTTCTTTGCCCTTCCCTGATATGCAGCTAGAAGTTCCCATGTTTTTAATGGGCATCTCTCTTTCTTAGGCAATCCTTCATCATTTGTTGGTTTTAGGCAAGCCTTCCATTAATCTCCTAAAGGATAATATGTTGATCCTGATTTATTTTATCTCTGGACAACATTATTCTTTTTTATTTTTGATTGACTAGTCAAAATTATGACATATTTGCAATGAGAATGGTGTTGGGCCTCACATGAACAATTAAAGGTCGTAGAAAACAAATTCGTTCACATGTCATGAACAATTAAAAGCTGTAAAAAGTAGATTCCTTCACGTCATAAACAACTAAAAGTTATTTTATTTTCTGTATAAATTCTGATGATCTGTAAACAATAGGACATTTGAAGTTTCTTTGTTTTCTCTCTCTCTTTGTATTCTTCTCTCTTTAGCTTTCATTATTATTTGCATGAGAGTTGAAAAGTACTCTCAAAAGTGGAGAAGACAATGGACAACCTTGTTTAACCCCTCCCAGTTTAGAATAAACAAGCAGGAACTCCATTGACAAATTGTGCATCAATTTCAATAGAAAATTCAAGGAGACGGAATCACAGGCCGCCTTCAAATATGCTTTCAAAGGGCTTTCAAATAGCGGTACAAGGCTCTACTTCTCAAAAGAAAGTCAGTTCGAACCTTAATGGAGGCAGTGTGTGTGACTCCCAACTAGGAAAAAAAAAATGAAATTCTTAAAAAATTGTCTAAATGCTTTGAAGCCAATAATGGACACGGACACAGACACACACATATCTTTTTAGGTAGCCAGTCTTTCCCTCTTATAAAATTTCACCTTGCTGCCAACATATTATACAAGTGACTGAGACCCCCATCTTTGATTGATTTGTAGTCGAAATGAACCTTTAGTTTACCAAATGATATTTTCTCTCCATTAGAAGGGCAGTAGGAAAATGCTTGGTTGAAGTATGCACAAATTTGTTAGATGCTGTCAATGCACATCCTAGAATTTGTCATATGATTTTACATGAAATGGCTTTTGAATCACATGTTAGGAATAGGTTTTGTATACTATACTTGTTAAGTTGAGATCTCTCATACAGGTATGCCATCACGTTAGGATGATAGACAGCAAAATGGCCACTATAAAAACATGTGTTATCAAAGTCACAACCAAGAAGGACCAAAAACGACATTTAGTAATACAACAAACTCCATAAATCAATCAATTTCATGAATACTAACGTGGGAAATAAAACAAAAATCATTTAAAACAGTTACAACCCAAGTGATCAATGAGTACCATTAAACAAGATAGTACTAAATGAACCGATGACAAAACAACCATAAAATGAAATTTGTGGACATAAACTGTTCCGTTTGGTGAGGAACCACCAGAATTCTATGCTACAACAAATAAGAAGCCAAGCATGCCCTCATTTGATCTTTAAACATGCACTTGTTCTCTCTCGCTAGGTACTGGTTCTGAAACATAGTGAATAGTGACCTTTAAAATGCAACAGGACGTTCTCTACCCGCAACTGTGTGAAATTAATTAAAGTTCAATAAAATTACAATTATTGTTATGCAAACCATTTCAAAAACTAAGAAAAGGGCAAGACACAATAAACTGGGAAGTAGATTTCAAGATTGAGGTTAAAAGTTATAAAACACTCAAAACACAACCTATCAGTCAAACAGGAAAGAGTGTCTCAATGTATGGATAGAGACTCACAACCACTCTTATTAAAAAAAAAAGCCTTTTAGGAGATCACGAGCCAGAACGATATTACCTTGAATTTTCTCGCCCTTTATGAAAGCCATTTATTTGTTCACCACCGACCAAATGACTCGAAACACCAAAACTTAATAGCCTGAGTAATACAGTATATCATCCTAAATAATTTATTCATTGCTTGATTAGTTTGGACTCTGATTGATTGATTTCTAACCTTTGGATTGTCTTTCGGACGTTGTTGACGCGGTCCGTTCTTTGTGAGTCGGCATTACATGACTTGTGTGGGTCGAGCCCATTTGCAGTCATGGGACGATCCTGAACCGTTGGATTGAGTGTTGGATTGCAATATGTGGGTCCCACCCCGTTGTGGCATGATCCGCACAAATCACATTTTCATTATTGCATTAATTATCATTTTGATTTAAGAGATTCTTGCACATTATGAAGAAAACTTTGTTCAGTTTATTATTATTAGAAGAAATATGAAAAAATTCATTGATTTGATAACACCTCTGAAAAAAAATTCTGATCAAAATTTTCTTCTTTTAACTTTAAGGTTCAGATTTAATAACTTCAATATTAAAATGATCAAAATCCCATTTTGTTTGGAATCAATTATTTTAGAATTTGGAAAAGGAATAGAAATTGGAATTAACTTTAAATTCCATTCATATGTTTGGAACAAATTAAATTTAAAATGGGATTTAAAATGAGATTTGAAATAAAAATAATATTATACCATTTATGCTCTGTTTACATGATAAATGAAATATTTATTTTATTGTAAAATGCTCCAAAGTTACATCAAATACACAAATATTGGGAAGGACTACATGATAGAACTCCATCACCAACATACTTAAAAAAGAGTACTAAAAGGTAAAATTAGGTTGGAGAACACTCATATGAGAGAGTAGAGTAAAAATTTAATAGGGTAGGGTTAAATAAGAAGAAGAGTGTTGGACATTAAAATATGTGAAGTAGATATTATACAAGGTTAATTAAGGTAATATCTTATTTATCTTTCAAATCCCTTCAAATCCTGACTTTTTAGACGGGATTTAAAACATATCAAAAACATATTTTAAATCTCATAACAAAATCCCATTCACAATCCCATAGATTCCAAACACAGTAAATCCTATTTCCAAACACAATATAAATCCCAATCCTCCATTTGACTTGGCTTGTTAAGATTTATGTCTCAGCCATAGTATATAACCAATTGTATATGTCTTCTTCCATAGTAGTAAATATATGTTATGTTGTGAGCTAGGGATGACTTATTCTCCGAAGTTATGGGAAGAGAAGATAGACATGGTACTATGAATCGGAAGCCCAACTCCATTCAGATTACGAGGAATGGCTAGAAAGGAATACGATGAAGAGGTCCACTTGTTAAAAGCACATATGCAGATGGTGATGAAGAAGATGCTTGCACAATTAATTGCTGCTAATAAGTAATACTCGTAACTCAGATCAACAAGCTCCAACTCAATGATATATCTCTTGACTCTTGGAGTCTCAACAGGTATATATATATATAGACACACACACACACACACATATAGAAAGTGTGCAGTGAGGGATATTTTTAGGTAGCCAGTAAAGCCCTCTTAGAAAATTTCTTGTAGTCCTTATTCCCTCTTGGAAAATTTCACCTTTTTTGTGGGTTAAATTTCAAATTTTATATATGCCGCCAACATTTTACAAGTGATTGAGTCTTGAGAGACCCCATCTTCTCTTATTTCTCTCCATTTGAAGGGCAGTAGGAAGCTTTTTTCTCAGTGATGTATGCTGAAATATGTATGGTTGCTGGATTCTCTGTTTTTCTCTTCATTTTGTCAGCTACTTCTTTAGTTGTATTTGGTTTATTAGTTATTATTACATCATAATAATAATAATAATCATAATAAAATTAATAACATTTTTTCTCCTTTTTTTGTTTGCAGTTCGTGACTTGGACGCATAAATCAACTGACCGATTTGTTGTTGGAATAGTTAGATTTTTAAACCACACATCTAGTAAGATTCCACTGTTGGATGTTGTATTGAAATGAAATTTTTTACTTTGGTAGGTGACTTGTGATAATATCCTTCTTCAAGTTGCAGTGCTGCAAGTGATCAACTAATACCATTAAACAAGATAGTGCCTAAATTAACCGATGACAAAACAACCATAAAATGAAATTTGTGCTATGCAATAGTTGGTGAATAGTGACCTTTAAAATGCAATAGGATGCTCTCTAACCATGTGGGAAACTAATTAAAGATCAATAAAAAGTTGCCTCTCCTAATTTCAATAGTTATTTCTCATCACAATCACAATTACAATTATTGTATGAGAACCATTTCAAAACACTAAAATAAAACCCTAAAATAAAACCCATGTCTCAATGTATGGATGGAGAATGTATGGATGGAGAATACAGTGTTTATACGACAAAAGCTGAGCCTCAGAAGAACCAGGACAGTGTGCTACATCAAGAAGCTTCTTAAAGGTATTATCCTTTATGTTGTAAGTGATAATCATGTTGGTGCCTACAAATAGCATCAAATACACACCTCCATCTTCTTCAAGAACTAAACCAAGCACGGTCACGAAATCTACCATCAAGTTAAAGTCAACCCGATACTTGAACGACCAATTGGAGTAATCGCTTTCCATCTCAGAGACGTCAATAGTAAATATGGTGTGCTGCTGAGTAAGATGTAAATGACCCCCAGACTCCCCAAAATGCCGTAATAAACTATCAGCAGTCTGTGATATTGGTAGAGATGGCATTGGGCACAATCTCTCCTGATCAACATCAAAGTATATGCAAGTCCAATGGATGGAAACATCACAATAGACTCCATGATCGAAGTCATTTGATACTGCTGATCTTGCCGGGAGAGTATCACCACCAAAGGGTCTCCACGCTTTGGTTTCTGACGAATAAATATGAATTTGATACAAGTAATTATCCTTCTTATACTTGTGTCTCCGAAGCAAAACAACTTTGTAGTGAAGTGATTTGGAAGGATCAAAAGCCAAATATAGAGGGTCGGCAGGATAACTAGTGCGGGAAAAGGGCCAGGGAAGAGACCGGAATTGCTTTGTGGTAGGATTGTAGACTTGGTAAGATAGGGGCCAATGGCCTGGATGTCTTTCCAACATCATCTGTGTCTTTGAGAGGAATGTATTTGATTTGAACTCGGGATTTACAGGTAAAGAACAGGCCGGAAATTTTGGGATGATCATGGGATTGTTGGCGCTTTTGCCAGAGGATAGAGAAGGTACGATCGGAGATTAGAGAGAACCACGTTTTCGAGACAGACTTGAATCGAATGAGGGATTTCGGCGGCAGAAGCTGAAGAATCTCCATCACCAGGTCGTGGTTACTGCCGATGGTTTCAAGAGCGGCGGAGGAGATTTGGGCCATTAATCAACTTCTCCTTCTTCTTCTCTTCTTCTCTCTCTCTCACTTCTGTTGAATCCACTTCAGACTTGTTCCTTTCTATGAATTGTTATAATTAAACACTTAACAAAACAATCGGATCAGAACACACAAGGGAAACGGCGAGACAGATTGAAAGTTGTGGTCTTCGCACAAGTCTGTGGAGACAAATTGACAATACGGAGAGGACGCCGGCGAAGCTGATCGGAATAGACAATACAGCCACCGGCAGATCTGACCAGAGCGCGGTGTAGGTGGTGACTGACAATTTGCTAAAGAAAACCCTAGGAATTGAGATTAGATATGTATATATAATATACATTCAGACTTCTTTTGGGCTAAAGCACAAATGAATAATAGCCAAATACTGTATTTGGGTTGGGCTGGTCAACCTTTTTTTTTTTTTTTTTTTTTTAATGGGTTAGCCCCTCTCTCTCTATATTATCTCTCCACATTAATACCATATTGTCAATATATATTTTTATATATAAGTGGACAAAAAATATAAAATTCAAAAATAGTAAAACAATGAGAATATTTGGGTACCAACAACTAGTATCAAAGGATAAAAATTAATAGACAGAATAAATCAGCAAGAAATAAGTCTGAAAATTATTTTTCATAAAAATATGGGTTCTATTTACTTTTATATATATATAATTCCTCTGTATAAATTAATTTTGATTGTTATTAATAAATTTATTGAAATAGTCTACTCGGCAAAAATAAAAGTGTAGCTCAACAGGTGTATAGAGTGAAGCTTCATTGCAAATATAATCAAAGTGATTTTTAATCTTAAGCATAACATCCAAGTAAACCAAATCCTTTACACTTTAACCAGATTATTTTAGTAAAATATTATTTTAAAATCAGCGTACTCTAAACCAAATTTGTTACTAGTAAAACTCCAATAAAAATCTACAAATTAATTGGTTTGAAATTATAGCATTTTTATTGTAGTTTCAACAATATAGCCTATTGCATCTTTCAGGTGCAGGTCTTAGCTTCTTCCGATTGCCCATTTCTCCATCTCTTCTTTGCAACAATCATGAACAATCACGAATCAATAGCCTGTTGGGGAGTAAGAAAATTGTTAATTTTTATTTTTAGGAAAGTATATTGTTAAATTTTTTTTAAATGTCTACTTTTGTCATTTCATTTTAATAGTATCAAATGGTAATAAAAAAAATAACTAAATTTCCTAAAATAATTAAAAGAAAGTTAATTAAATAATGTCCGTTGGATTAGATTCTACTATTATGATTAAAAGTGAGTATGCTACTCCCTGATTAACAAGAGCAATTGAACACCACTATATACACATATAACATATAATATATAAGTGCACAAAAAATTTGAAATTCAAGAATAGTAGAACAAGGAGAATAATTGAGTAGTTGATCAAAGGATAAAAATTAATAGGCCGGAAAATTGGCATAAAAATAGGTATTTCGTAAAAATATTGCAACGACCCGAACCTGTGGGTCCGAACAGTTAACCGGGTCCTTACCCGAACCCGAGGATACCTAAGTCATTTCCGTCATTTCCAATGTCAAAATATCATTTATGTGTCATGGTTATACTCCACTACGGCTCAAGGTAAATTTCTAAGGCTTAGAATGGATAGACAGGAAAGAAAAGCATGGAACTACCAAACTGCATCACTTCAATCGACCGAAGTGAAGCCGAAGCAAAACCCCTTAACCGGTCGGCCGAAATAGCCAACCGGTCGACCGGTAGTGAACCCAAAACCTCCATAAGGTTACTGGAAGAATCGGTCAATCGAAGTGCCCATTTCAGTCGACCGAAACGACTCGGAGTGCCCAGAATCAGCCACTGGATTTGCTGTGATTTATGAAAATGAAAGTGGATAACGTGGAAGTTGTGTAACCCACCCAAAACCTGTTCTAACACATTGAAAATGACATACTACATTCCATCCAGTTGAAACACAAGCTTTGCATACCCAATAATACATGATCCCAATATAATTAACAAGCATTGCAACAATATTGCATCAAGTTTACAACATTAGCCATTATGGAATTGTAAATACAACCATTTCTTTTTCATGTCCTGAAAAATGTTAAATATAAAGGGATGAGCAAATTGCTCAGTAGGTGGTGCCTAAAACACACCTCTTGTGACCCCGTGAATCCAAACAATGAATAGAATAATAGGGAACGGGATCATGCTATGCCAGGAGAAATACAACATCAATCTCAAATCCACATGAACAATATGGAGCTATGAAATGCAATGTCGTACATTGTCGCTCCCCATTTTCAAAACCATTCATCACTTTTCAAATTGTTAATATAACCCGTCCGTTGGTGACTCCTCAGCGACACGAGAGAAGGATTGGCTATTGTCCCAGACCCTTAGTACATCCGCAGAGTCATTTGGGGCCCAGATAGCTCAACCACACTAGGGTATTTTCCCCTAGTTCCCTCTAGGTTACATTAACACCATGGCCCTTTGGTGACTCCGCGGCGACCGAGTTTTTCACAAAACCACTTTAATCAAAACTTTCTCCCAAAAATTCACCTTTTCATTTCAAAACAAATTGTTCCCATTTTCTTCCCAATGTTTATGCGAAAATGCATCATATCAATTCATGTTATGCCAATACTTATCATTCTACACCTACTTCAAGCTTAAACACTTAGCAAGCTTTACAAAATAATCCAAAAAAATACAACATGCTTCCATTCAACATTAATTTAACCAAATAAGCATATAAGGCATGAATTTTTCATCATACAAGCATGCTAGTCCATGTAATAGCAACTAAAGCATATAATCACATCCTACATTTACAACAAAATAATCATTTTAGAGGAAATCAATACAATATAACATGCAAGACAACAACTTAAAATATGAACTCGTTCTAAGGTCGTGCTCTAAGCACCTCACCAAATGCAACAAGAAGATCAAAAATGATTGCGCACCAAATAGCTCAATCCACGAGCTAGAAGCCCACGCCATTAGTTCGACAAGAACCGGCACCCAAACAACCCTGGAGCAACCAAGCTCCTCGCCTACTTAAGTTAAAACTTACACAACCCTCTATGTTGTGACAAGTACCCTACCGTACTAGCATCCAACCCATGCTCGACTGCATACATGCATAAAAGTACATAAACAAAACTTTCTCCCAAAAATTCCCCTTTTCATTTCAAAACAAATTGTTCAATTTTCTTCCCAATGTTTATGCAAAAATGCATCATGTCAATTCATGCCATGCCAATACTTATCATTCTACAACTACTTCAAGCTTAAACATTTAGCAAGCTTTACAAAATAATCCAAAGAAATACAACATGCTTCCATTCAACATTAATTTAACCAAATAAGCATATAAGGCATGAATTTTTCATCATACAAGCATGCTAGTCCATGTAATAGCAACTAAGGCACATAATCACATCCTCCATTTACAACAAAATAATCATTTTAGAGGAAATCAATACAATATAGCATGCAAGACAACAACTTAAAGAAAATAATTCACAAAGGAGCAAGAAAATTGTGAGTTTAAACACCCCTACCTCTCAGATGCAAAAACCCCAATTTAAGCCCTCAAATTCGAAATCCCTAGGATGCATAAATGCTGAAATTGCTTACACCCACTTGTAGATCTCGCCGCACTCTCCGTTTTGCCGCAAATGGCACCCAAAAATTCTCACTGGTTGAAAAGGAATTGTAGTTTGAAATTTGAGAAGAAAAACAAAAATAAAAAGAGAAGGAAATGAGAGAAAGCCGGGAGAAGAGAGAGATAATAAGGCCAAAGTGTGGCCTATTTGCCACAAATCAAAAGATTTTATGGTGGTAGGTCCCACCACCAAAGATTTTTTTTTTTTTTTTTTAAGTAACACACACATACATATGCACACAACCACAATAAAACCATATAAAACACATCAAGTAAAAATAAATGATATGCAATTGGATCCAATAAAAAATCACGTACGCAACAATTCCAGTGGCAAGTCCCACACGGGACCGTCCTGCCAAAAAAATGAAAAATTACAAAAATGACTAACATTGCATTTTAAAGAGTCTTAAACTCCATGAAACACCCCCAACCAACTCTCGGATACAACCGGCACACTCCACGGTGTCCAGTACGCAAAACAAGAAAAGACGAAATGCCCTTGCAAAAGCAGAAAAGTTCTAGAACATAGAAAATGATAAAAATCGAAAATATTACAATCTACCCTCCTTAAAAGATTTCGTCCACGAAATCTACCCTCCTTAAAGAAGGAGGCCAACAGTACACACCTTCTCGAGAAACACTCTACAAAACCAAAAGACCATGAACTCACCGACATTATTGCCTTTGACACCGGACTTCACCAGATAATCACACACCACTGCCACTAAAACGTAATGGTCACCACCCTATGAAAGCACCCATTTCTCACAACTTTGCAACACAAAACCAACTGATTCGCCCTACACAATACTCAACTCAAAATGGACATCGGTCCATTCAACACTACCATGAAAGGATCCAAAGAATGAAAGAAGAATAGTCACCCGACCAACGAACATGACTACGTCAAAGCCCAACTCATCCTCTAAAGAACCCCGTTCATCTCACAGTCAAGCTCAACTCTGATTCACACATCTCTATCAGACCAACACTGGCCACTTAACACATAGCTACACTACCATATATCGGTACAAGCAACCACCAACCGCATCATTCGACAATCATTACACTTAACAACTTCAAGATAACTGAATAATGAATCTCCCAACAACTACATAATCATAAGTCACCAAAACAATAAAACAAATTATCCTACACCCAGGTCATAAACCCTCAAA